AAACCAAAACTAAATGGCCTGATCCTGAAATCCTTTCCTACACAACTGCAGTATAAATAAGTAAAGATACCCAAGTATAAGACAGCCAACCATATATATTATGCAAAAGCACTAACCATTTGACAGATCTCACCAATTTCAATATTAAAAGACTACAAAATAGATCCCCGAATATTAAAAGGTACCACTTTACAAGCGTACCACCAAGTGTGGTGATTCATTGTCCTCAGTAGATTGGTCTCATCTGTTTGCACCTCATTAAGTCTTGTCTTCTTGTCACACAGAATATTTTGCTTCTAATAGGCCCATCAGATGCTCAGATAAAGCCATGATAGGATCTGCTGTGTAATCCATATAATTGCACCCCTGACATGTCACACGTGCATGGCAGCATTAGATCCAATAACAATCCCGGGCTTCCCCTGCAAATGCAAGAAGCAAGCTCCCATGCCAGGAAGCCCATAACTGACAAGGCTTGCAACCACGGGGTACCCCATGCACTCCTCCCACTGGGAATCTGCAGCTGACAGGGCTCACAGCCACAGGGCCACATGTTCAATTTATGGCATGATATGAACAAGCCACAAAGTTACTACACAATTTTTGTGGATTGACTATGTGGTTCATTTCTCATTTTATCATGCCATTAATTGATTGAACATGTGACTAGGTCACAACTCAAGACACGATTCGTCGGTTAATGGTGTCATCAGTGTAACCTGTGGCAGGGGCCATAGAAGCCTTGAAATTGACAGACCCTTGTCAGTTCCAAGGCTGCAAATAGCGCGACTCTGACAGCAACTGAGATGGGCTGGAAGGATTAATTATCCACTGCACATGTTGGGTCATTTCATGATTGCCAACCAATGTCACTGTATGTGACTTAGGCTTCAATTCTCACTCAATGGAACATATTGTTTCACTGATATTACTGGTATTTCTGAGAGTAAAGGTTTGGGTTCCTTGATGTTAGACCAAAGCCTATAAGGATCCTAACTCCCTCTGTTTTTATGGAGAAATGCGGTTTCTGGCCACAGTTTCTCAAGGCTAAAAACACCAAAAGGCAGACAACTCAATTTATATTTGAACATATATCGACCTGGTCTAGATTTTAGAAGTGGTGTCAATGAGCTGTGGGTGCATAATACCTCTACATAAGGACTGAGGAATTTTATCCTAATGCCAGAAATGTGTGTTTGAAGCAATAGAAAAGTGTAGGGAAACCATTAAGCATTTTATTTCCATATTCTTTATGGTTCTTCACTCAGAATGATTTCCTGTCTTACCTACTATAAATGACATCAGGGGACCAAGTAGAAAATTTCAGTTGTACAAATATGCTGTAGCTTAACCTACGTCAAAATATGCTGGTATCCTTAAGAGCATAAAATAGGCCAGTCCAGTAAAAACTGTTTCTCTTCCTCAAAATCTCACCCACAGATCTGAACAATATTCCCGGAATTGTGTTTTGCTTAAGAACTTAATTGCTAAAAATATATGATTACTCTAAAAAATGTGATCTGGCAAGTCTATATATGCCACATTCAATAATTTCCTAAACAAAGACAGCATGGCATTGATTCATTATGACAATCTGTAACTAAACGTTTCAAAAGTAGGAACCACTTAAAAGGAGATTAAACGTTTAAAAAAAAGCCTGAGACAAAGGATTATATGTATATGTGCCATAAAAATTAAGCTCATGTAACAATAGCTTTAGGATAGAAAGATGGGACTGAATAGTACAGGGAAAGGACATATGAGACGATGCAACTGCTACACATGCAACTAGGAAAACAAGTCTCCAATCAATGCAGGCAGATGTAAATCAGTAAGTTTAACATTTAGAACAATATTACCCAAAATATAGGGTGCAAAAAAGTTTCCTATGGAAGGCATGCTTAAGGACATGCTTAAATGTATAAAAGCTGAGCATGTACAAAAGCTGAAGGTGTGGGGAAGAGGGCATGAGAGTGGCTGACTTTACAAACTGCAATTGACCAATAGCAATGTATTCGGTTACTGATTTCTTTTTTACTTCCCTTCCTAAATCTACATTCATAAAAGATCAGTTCAAGAGATCTCCTTTTCTCAGGTTTCCTATTTTGTTTTCTCTCTCAGACCTCGTAAGACCCTGCCCCTTGCATTTTTTTTCCCCTTCTCCCTTTTGTGTTATACCCAGGATACATCTTCAGGATACAGCCAGGCAAGAGTTTTTCAACAAAACCATTTCATAGGAAGAGATTACTTTCAATGAGACTGTATAGAAAGATTTCTTAGATTTCTGTATAGAAGGATTTCATTTTCTAAGATAGAATCTTCCAAGATAAACCAGTGACCCAGCCAAAATCGCCAATAGTGTGGTGGTTGGCACATTTACTTGAGGGACAGAGTATCCCCGGATCAAATCATGCACTCCCAAGTGAGTGCCCTAACCACTAACCTTATGGTTATTCTGGGAGTAGCACTCACTATGTTGTTTTTCTAGGGGGGAAAAAAAAATGTAGGAAGGTCTTAGTTTCATCCCTATACAGAATGCGAACATTTCAGTAGTGTCCTAAGATTTCATGGGACAGAAGATCAGTGTCCTACCCAGCTCAACTTTGTGTTATATTGTGTTAGCAGCCAGCCTATGAGCCTTTGACTTTCAAGTCTCATCTGTGCCCCTTTCAGACATCGTTTCATTTTTACCTTGTTATTTCTCATTATTATTTTCCAGATCTGAGGCATCAGTGAGGAGCATTGTATAAATGGAATTTATGCTAGCAAATGTTTTAACCCAGCACCTGAAATGGCCAGAAAATAGGAATATGAAAGAAAACTTGGTGGGGGACAGGTTAGATTGACAGGATCAGCTGATAATGAAGTTGACTGGTTTGCAGAAATAGAAATCTAAAGAAAGCAATAAAAGTATGTTTTCAAGTTAGCCTGAAAGCCCATGAGAAAGACCTGTAGTTATCAACAAGAACTAGCTATTTTTGGTGCGCCTGCAGCTCCTAGGCTTCCAGTGAGTATAACTATCTGATATACTTCTGCTATCATGGCAGGATTGACCAAGCTAAAATTGACCACAGAGTGAGTTGAAATCACAGAAGCAAAGCACCACATTTTCTCATATACAACCCATGTCAGAATATAATATGCAACTTGTTTTTTGAAAGCCAGAATGAAGAAAAAAACATTCTGGAATTGTGTCTCTAGAGAACAGGGGCAGAGCCTGCTTTTCAGATGAATCACCAACTTTTCCTGCTTAAACTGTGGAATAATAGGAGAGAGATCAGAAGCAGCTAGCAGACAGTAAAGTTGCCCTGGGAAAGGTTAGCTTGATTAACAGAACATCAAGATCATTAAGAAAAGACAGGCAGTGGTTAACACTCGTGGAGCGGAGCACAATAAGCCATTAATTCAACTGACTCCATCATCTGCCCAAAACGTAACACCACAATACCTGCCCCGAGGAGGAGACATGAGGGCAGGATGTTTCTATCCTGGACAGAAAGTCCGCTTCCCTCCTTAATACATGAAGCTCAATTTTAGCAGGCTGATTTTGGAGGAAGAGGCATATGTGCACAAATATGGTAACTCTAACCTGAATTTTCTTCGGGCCTGGTTTTGGTTTTGGACACACACTGGATTTCAGTTGAACTCCTGAATATGTGCATAGACCATGTAAGCAGACCTTGATGCAGAATAGGAACTTAGCTTGGAAATGTTTGAGGGAAGGGGACATGTCATTGCATGAGTTTACACATGCCCTGCCCAGTAGGGTCCCAACTCCCTGTGGTACCATCAATATTTAGGACCAGTCTTTCATCTGAGGTAATGCAGATCCTTTTAGAAGGAACTGATATCTTTGAACAAGGATGCACAAGCAAAGATTACAGGTATTTCTCCAGCTCCGCAATGATCCTAAGTGATTATATCCGACTTAATCTCTCAGGGCCTTGGTTTACAGATCCATACATTGGAATAATGTTAGTTTACCACACTGCAGTATTGAGATTTAAAATGTACATGCTTTGAAATCCTCATTTAAAAAGCATCAAAAACCCATAAATTAGTTTTATGCCAGGCAATAATTTTTAAAGGAAATGCATTCAACCTCCCAGGGACCATTCCGACTACTACAATTCATATCCGCACACATACAAAAGTTATAATCAAGTAAAGACAGAAATATAATCTCCATCAATAGCAGTTTTGCTCCTCATTTTTCAATTTTAGCAATGAAGGGTCCCCACATAGAAAAAGAATTCCTTTAATCAACCTCTTGGTGAATAGGTATCTTTCCAGCTAGTTATATGCTAATCATTCCTCTCCACCAAACAGATTTTGTTGATGTATGTTTTCACATTGTTTTGATATCAGCATGAAGAGACAGAATTAAACAAAACATGCTGTTCTTCTCACTGTTCTCCTTTAATCACCTCTCCGTGGGTGTTTTTCTAGGGCTGGGCTGAAGGTTTGGTTTGGAAAAAAAAAAAAAATGAAAAGGCTGTTCTTCTCACTGGAGATACAAGAAAAGGAATCCAGATGTCTGGATTCAATGTCCAGTTCTATCCCAAACTTGTTGCATTCCTGGGGGCAATGCCTTAGACCATAGGCAGACAAGGTTCTTTGGGTAAATCTGATATCTTTTATTAGACCGGCTCAAATAGTTGGAAAAAAAATCTTCTTTGCAAGCTTTCGGGCACAAACATCCTTTGTCAGGGTGACGAAGCATCTGCAGTTGGTTATGCTCTTCTGAATGGAATGAATGGTAAATTAGCCAGGCAAAGGGTGTGTGAGCCTGAAAGCTTGCAAAGAATATTTTTGTAACTATTTGAGTTGGTCTAATAAAAGATACCAGATTTACCCAAAGAACCTTGTCTGCCTATGTCTTTAGACCAACATGGCTACTACCTATGCCCCCGATGCCTTAGATCACTTTTTTTTTTTTAAAACAAAGTCAGTATTCACAAGTTTGTAAAAGAACTCAGCCAACTGGAAGCTGAGGTTTGGGAGCTCTGACCCTGAGCTTTTCTGAAATGCTGGTCTTCAGAGTTCAGCTCCAGAAACTGCCAAGCCTATTCCATTTCCACTGAAGTCGGTGGGAGTTGAGGGCCTTTAGCACTGTGCCAGATTGTGTTCTTAACCTCTGAACCGCAGCCGGTGCCATCTGTAAGATAGAGTAAAGAAAACGCACTTCCTTCAGGTAGGTTGTGAGGGTGAATTCATCAATGCTATAAAGATTTTAAGAAGCCCAGACTGAGGACACCATAAAAGTATTATACTCCAAAGCACTCTGTAATTCAGGTGCATACCGAAGCCAAGGCAATATATTTTTTTTCAGGTCTTTTAAATTAGGCTAGAAATTTTACAAGAAGTTATTTTTCTCAAGACTCCCAGCACATGTTGCATCTGGTGAGGTCAAGAACACGCCCTTTTTTTATTAGTTCATCACTTGTGCTAGACAGGAACTAGAAGTGTAGAAGTGCATATAAAAGATGCATATTAGGAGGATGCTCTCATAGTGTTCACTCTGCAGTGTCAGGGAAGTTCATTTTTGCTTCCCGAACAAAGCAACAGTTTGAAATTGCGTCCCAAGATTTCCTTCCTCCTTGTACCTACAAAGAAATAGTCTTGGCCAATTCCTCTCTGGACTTTAAGCTCCTTAGGGCCTTGTTACCTGGTAATTTTAGGCAGCTTCCGGAGCTCTTAACCCCTGAGTTGTCCATACATTAACACCTGAAAGTGGTTTTAAGCACTCAATCTGAGGCTCAAAGTGACACCGCCCTGGGACAGGATTATCTCAGATCTGTGGTACCCAGCTCATGTTAGACTAAGGTGTAGCGACTCTACGCTATACCCAAGTGTAAAACACCCCATTACCCCTCCTCTACTGCTGACCTAGATCAGGCCCACTGTCCCCCTAGCACCACAGATCCCCACGCACTGCCTTCGCCCACCCACTTACTTGTGTCTTTCCACACTGTCTCAGGGGAGCAGTCAGGGAAGGATTAAACTGCCTGCCTGGCCACTAGTGCTGCTGCCAGATGAGCAGCAGCAGCCACTGCCAGTTTAACCCTTCCTTGCCTGCTCCCTTGGGACAGACAGGGGAAGTAGCCGCAAGTAAGTAATGTCCCAGGGGTGAAGGGAGGCAAGAGACAGAGAGGAAGCCTGGAAGAAGAAGAGGGGGGTAGAGGCTCAGGGGAGATTCTTACCTTTCAATCCTCCAGGCCCTTGCTAGCCTGAACGTGTGACTTGCTCCAAACACTAGGCAGAACTAACAGCCATCAGCATGTGTGTGCCTCACAGTGTAACGTGTAACAAGGTTACTCTGATCTGTAGGAGTGGTGCCCATCTATTGAGATCCATGTCTTGTTGAAGCTGTTCCAAAGAAATGGAGGCAAAGGGGAAGTCATGGGCAAACATATATTTCAGATACTTCAGAACAGAAGGGGGAAGCTGCTGAGTAGCATCTATTACACAGTTAGTGATCCTGTAGCAAGCTAAATCTTCTTAACCTTGACACTGGATAACTGCAGAACAAGGTTGAAGTTGGAGCAGTCTTTCTACACCTGTATCGCTAATGAGTCATGCAGATATAACAGCTGCATTGTAGCAGCTTGACTCGGTGTCCTTGGATAGCAATGCAATTACTACATCTGCCCATGCCTAGAGAGCATACGTATAAATTTGTAGCTGGTGGTTCAGAGCTCTCACATGACAGGTGGGAGCTACGGGTTCCTATGCCCGCAGGCAGAGGAAGTCATTGGAACCAAGCTGTCCTGTATCTTGTGAGTTTGCTCTAAATACCAAAACTATTGGATTAAAAAAATCCAACAACAACAAAACTGGGGCCAACGCACCCAGCTGTTGTTTTGTGTAGCAGGTGTACTCTGAGAACGTACTAGACTTAGTACTCGAGGCTGAGAGCTGAAGGAGCACCTGACTCTGATCCCGATAGGGCTTAAGTTTAATGCCTGGTTTCTCAGCATTTTCAGACTCAGGCACATGTGAAAACATTAAAACTTTAGGCACCGAGGAAATGGTAGTGTTGGAAATGTAGGTACCCTCTGGCCTAGGCAACAGATGTTGTGGATTTAAGTTCTAGATTTTAACATGTAAAGGAAAAGTCGATAATAGGGTTACCATATTTCCAGGATAAAAAAAGAGGACACCTGTGTGGGGGGAGAGGCAGGGAATGGCAGTGGGGAGGGAGACACGGGTATATGATTGGGGGGAGGGCAGTGATATGCCTGTGCCCTGCCTCTGCCCCTCACTCCTAAGCCCCTGATCCCACAGCTCTGCCAGTGCCCTTCACTCCCAACCCCCTGCCCCCCAGCCCTGCCAATGCCCCTCACTCCTGACCTGCAGTCCCCTGCCCTGCCATGCCCCTCACTCCTGACCCACAGTCCCCTGCCTCCCAAGCCCTGCTACCCATGCAGCTGCTGCATGCACACGCACACACACACATTTTCCGAGGCCCCACCTGCAGAGCACATGACCCCCAACAGCCAATCACCTTGCCTGCCCCTCCCAGCCCCAAGCAGCCAGCCCAGCAAAGTGAGGCATAGCGAAAACCCAGGCATTTGCTGGCATTTTAAAAACCCACCCAAACAAGAGGACAGGGGGCCAAAAAAGAGGACATGTCTGGGAACACCCAGACATATGGTAACTTTAGTAACCTCTTTTTAAGCTAAATGCCATTGTGAATCTGGGGCAGGGCCTTTGGAAATGCCTTGTTGTCTGGTCAGGAAGGCAGGAAAGCAAGCAGTTAGTGTGGCAAGGCTGTCTTTGATTGCCTGCATGTTAATAGTTAATGCAGCAGGTACAATTAGCAAACATTCTCTTCTGTTGTTCCTCCTCCTCCTTTCCCAATTAAAGCTTTACAAGGCAGGCTATAAAATGGATAGAAGAGTGTGTATGTTTGAGGGGGTAGAAAAAGAGTATTAAGGACACCACTGGCATTCTCCTTTTTGCCTAGCAATTTATTTCACTTCCCTTACAAATGCTCAGGCTAGGAGGCTAATGAGCCACAGCTGCTTCCAGTCTTGTCAATTAATCCATGTCTCACCAGCCAGGAGACCTGTGTCATTCTCAGTTGGGCAGACCTGTTTACCAGACCAGGCCCCTGATGGACATGTTATTTCATCAGCAAAAGTAAATTGATGTCCTACTTTTATGAACATTTTAGTTAAAAATGTTGTGGGGAGGAACAGTGAGGGTTTCCCCAGCCTTCAGATTTTTAAGCTATTGTTTAGCAACAATCGATGGCACTTAAAATAAGACAGCTAAAGAATAATACGCGCATGAAGTGAGGATATCATCATCCATCTACATGTCTAAATGTAATTGTTTTCCTGCTAATCCCTTTACCTCAAAGCTGTCTTGAGGCAATGAGTTCCGCTGCTTAATTATTTGTTTCCTTTCAGCCCCACTGCACATCTACAAATTTCTGTATCTCAAAAAAAAAAAGAGTACACAGCAGCTCCAATTTACCCTATGAGCTCTTATAAAATGATATTGTAGCAAGTTTGTGGCTCAAGCTTCAGCTTTATCACTACACCACACACCACTTATTTGGAACCTCTCAGCCATAGCAAGGATAGAAAACTGATATTTTTGTTGCAAAAGCTCAACTGATAGAGAAACATCATTAATACTTAGCAGTATCAGCCCTACACTGGTTTGCAATGGTTTTGACAGAATCCAATAGCAGACCACAGTTCACATGTATACTAGCCTGCAAGTTTGAATACATTTGTACAATCTTGGAATTCTTTTGGGCACTAAATACATAATTCCCATTTCTCTTGAGCAAAATGTGATTTTATATACCCAATAACCTGCTGGGTAGCAGTTTAGATCCTTCAATAACTGTCCAAGTGTAGTATACAAGTCAGAGCGGCTTGTTCTAGAAAACCTTTTTTACTGTGAATCAGTAGATTCCTTGCTGTGAAAAAGGCCCTTAAAACAGTCTTTTCAGAGAGAGCTAAATTCCTCTAAATCAGCAATGCAAATGTAAATGTTGTATTGTTCACTGAACCCAAACACAATGGGGGGGGGGGGGATTCTTTTAAGCAAACATCCTGATGCGGGTTTGAATGCTAAGCAAGGAAAATTAACCTTTCCCCCCCCCTCCCCCCCCCCCGCCACACTTTTCTATTTGCTGATCTCTAAAGATAATATGCTCAGTTTGCTGTGTTGTCTACTGCTAAAATTGGAACTATTGGTGTTTTTTTCCCCATCCCTCATGCAGTTTACTATTTTTCCAAACTTCAGTAGTGAGCATACTAATACTGGACTGATGGGTACTGAAATTATCCTAACGGAATGCACAGTATTGCCAAGCCCGCCGTGTCAAAAATCATGAGACAAACGCTTAAAAATCAAGAGATTTGGGATGTAAATCATGAGATGCTATTTTGAAGAGTGTGTGTGCAGTTCCCAAGGGAAAAGGCAGCAGGGTGCAAAGCCCCAGCCTGAAGCAAGCAGCCTGCCTCTACCCCAGACACATCTGGGGGGCACACCCCCCTATACCTTCCCTAACCCCAGGGCTCCATTCACCCCAGCCCCTACCACACTCCCTCCTTCATCATGGGGGCCTCAATCTGTCCCCTTGGCCCCTTCCCTCTCCCCCACCCCTGCCCCTTCTCCTCCACAGACTTACCAGCATGGCACTCTCTACATGTGCCAAAAGAAAAAAAAACAAAACAAGATCTGAGCTCTCTATCAGGAGATCATGAGTCAGAGTTAATTTGTCTTGGAAATCAGGAGTCTCATGATTTTGTCATGAGAACTGGCATTACTGAATGCAGCCCATCTACTCCAGCTATCAGTAAGGAAGCTAGGTGCAGGCAGTGGGGCACTAGCCCCAGGCACCAGCCTAGAAGGGATACAAGAATAGCTACCAGCCCAGCTTAGCAAAATAGATTTAACTAAGCTTTACAAATATGTGTGACTTTTTTAGCCTACCAACAGAATGCAAGTATCCTACATTTCAAGGATGAAGGGATCCTGTGTAGGGATGTGAAAGATTAAATGATTAACCATTTAACAGGTAAGTGCAGGGATAAAGCCGGTTAGCTTACTTGTTATATTTTAGCTCTGGGAGGGTGCAGTCTGGCAGGGAAGGGAAGCCATGTGGTGCTCCAGCAAGAAACAGGAGGGAGGTAGGAGCAAGGGGGACTAATACCCATAGCCTAAAAGGAAAACAGTCAGCAGCCTAATGATTTATCAATTAAACAATTAGCTATTCATTCACAATTAGTGCTCCCTGCCTCCCAGTGTAGGGCTTCAGTGAGCTGTGTTGTCTCGCTAGGCTTGCCTCCTCCCCCCCAGTTAAAGGGCTCCCAGCAGCAGCTGTGTCTGAGCTGCTGTGCTATCGGTTAATTGTTCAACCGGTATAATTAGAGGAAGTTACACTATTTTTTTAAGGATATTTACATCCCTAGTCCTGTTATGGTAATGGTATTTAATTCTTTGAATACCTACCTGATCAAATACTCAGGTTATTCTGAAATGCTGGCCTCTATAGTCCACTTGCTTGCTAGTTAGTAATTCTATAACTAATCTAAAGGTAACTTCTTCAGTTTATATTTGTTTTCTGGTTTCTGCACAGTGGACGTTAAATAAAAAATAGTGTTAGTGACCTCAAAAGGTTTGTGTTATGAAAGATCAAAACCAGTAAATAATGTATAGTCACACTATCCATTATTAATTTCTATGATCAGCAGTAAACAAGGATAGCGCTCCTTCTTCTCCCCCGCGCCGCCATACACGCAGGAGGAGGCTGTTAGCTGAAACCACAAGGTGTTTTTCAGAACTACAACTTGTGGTTTATGTATATTCCTTGAGCGGCTGCAATTGTGAACCTCATCACAAAATGTTTTGCATCAGTTCTTAATGGAAGTCTCAGCATGCTATTTATTTTCTCAGGAGAGAGTTTATTAAGATGCATTGTATTGTTGCTTGCTGGACACTGCTCACAGAAACAAAGCACATCTTTCAGTAAGCACCAATAAACCTCACACTGTAAACTGTGAAGAAATTACATTGCACTAAACTATGACCATTCGATCAACATTGTAACAAAATTTATCGGGTCCTTAAGAGAGTTCCAGAAAGAGTGATTCCATGGTAAGGGACCTTTGGTTTGTTTCCCTGGTATTTTATTTTATTTTATTTTATTTTACCTTAGTTTGAAAGAAAGAAAAGTCTAAAATGACTTGCAGTGATAGCAATGAAGCTACTTACATCAGTCCTGGGCAATTTCCGATATTCTCTCTCCATTTCACCATTGTCAGGCAATTTTATTGATAAAGCAGCTCTTTCTCCATGTCAACAAATAATGGAATCTGGCTCAATACATTCTGCTTTGGTTTAGGAAATGCATAGCATTATATAACATTCATAGGAAATGGTGCACCTAAAGTTGTGCATATTGAGTGCATTTACACAAGTGGCGGGCTGCACAGTTGTTACTGTGCAGTCGTTTAGTACTTGCATAAGCACTAAATGACTGCACATTAACTGATGTTACTGCGCAGTAGGGTCCCCACACAGGTTTTTTTTCAGATGGTAATGCACAGTAGCAATGAGCTACTGCCCAGTAGCTCATTACTAATGCACAGCAGCATTATGTCACAGTTGCTGCCCGCCAATGTTACTGCTGTAGCAACGAGCTATAGTGCAGTAGCTTCTCATGTAGATGCGCCCACTGAACATGGACTTAAGCTTCTTTGTTCCATATGCAGGGAATAATGGGAAATGTTACCAGATAAGCAGCACAAAGGGAAAAGATATAAAGCAACATGTAATGACTGACTGAAGGCAAAGCAGCAGAGATTTGCCTTAAGATATTTATATATTTTTAGAAATAAAATCCCTGTATCTACAAGTGTCTATAGGATACTTATGTATATCCTAGATTTTGATGTTGTAGTCTTCTCTTCTGCTCAACAGGTTGTATCCCCACAATTTTGCAACCAGTATGCTAATGAACATAGAATGAAACTATAACCTTTATAAATAAAAAACAAAAACAGCATCTAGGTGGAATATATTTCCTCGTTTTATTGTAATTCTGACACAAATGAATCCAATATACATTTTGTGCTTTGTGTGCTTTCTGTTTATGTTCTACATTATGGTCTTTTAGGATACAAGAATATGAATGTAAAGAAGTCTATAAATTGAAACAAAAAGCATGTTTTACTTTAACAATAACAACCTCCTTATAATGTGTTAGGGTAAAGTATGCAAAGAAAAATTCTCACAGTGCTTCATTTGAAGTTACTTCCCACAGGTTCCCAGGTATTTTGGAGGAATCATTTCTTACCTAGGGGAATTTCTGTGGGAGGAAAACTAAAATAAGTAAATAAGAAAAATAAAAGACAATACAGATTACTTTTTGTCACCTCTCCACCAAAGTAGGAGTGAAAACACCTGAAGTTTGATATGGTGTTTTTCTTTTCTATTAGATAGGGTGCAGCTACATATGAAATTGATACAACACAATAAATTCTGGTGCAGTTCACACTGGAGTCAACTGCTCCTGGGTGCAGCATCTACACATGAATCAGGGACAGCAGCAATTTGAGCTGGAGCAGAGCAAACCCCTGTCTGGCTGGCTAACTAGGTACAATTAACAGTCCTAGTCAGCATCTACCTTGTATTTCAGTCCAGTAAGGCCAGGTTACTTGGGTAGATGTGGTATCTTTTAATAGACCAACTGAATAATTTGAAAAAAAATTATTTGCAAGCTTTTGGGCACAATCACCCTTCTTCAGGTATAGGGAGTCTCTGCTGAAGAAGGGTGATTGCACCTGAAAGCTTGCCAAAAACTTTTTTCCAACTATGCAGTTGGTCTAATAAAAGATATCACATCTACCCATAGAACCTGGCCTGCCTAAGTCCTTAAACCAGCAGTTCCCAAACTCTGACACATTGTGCACCACCAATTGAAAATGATACAACCTTAAGTACCACCAGCAAATTTTCATCAGATAAAGTAATTATAATAAATCTATTAACACATACTGCTGACAAGTTGTCTGCATACCACTCGTGGTACCCATACCACAGATTGGGAACTGCTGCCTTAGACAAATACAGCTACAACCAAAAACTCAGGGCAGTAAAAAACTCCATCGTAAGATAGTACTGTCCCTGACAGTACTACCCTATGGCAGAATTAATTAGTTTACTGCACCCTAATATGCGTGTGTAGACTGTGATGCTTTACCATAGAGCTAATTAGTCAACTCAGAAATAAAGCATATGTGTAGATTCCCCGCCACCCCCCACACTCCCTCCCCCTGGTGTAGGAAGCTGCACTTCTTTAGCTCAGATTTCCAAAGCATTAAAGGACAACAATGTCACACACACATTTTCATTTAAATGCAAATTTGAATGCATGTCTACCTATTAAACCCTGACAAAGTAAGGTACATCATTTAAGCCATATTGGTTTAAAAGTAAATGATAATTCTGAACCTTTTCAGGACAAGCACTCATATGACCTGTAAACTGAGGTTATGTAGCTGATCTGCCTTTTATTTTGTATAACAGAATCCCCCAAAAGCCAGATTGAAATTCAGGCCCAAGTTTTGTTGGCATGTTCACAAGATATTAATCTCCAGAATTTTGAACTTTAACATTTATATTTTAAACTTTTAGCAACCACATAACTTCCTCAGCAGGAGTTTAGCTACAAAAGGTTTCAAAGGAAAAATGTGATCAAATAAGAAAAAAAACCCAAGTATTTTTGTTCTCCTGGGATTCCTCAAATCTAAACTGGGAAGGGAAACTTAAAGTATCTGATGATTATTTGCAACAACTCTATCACCAAAAAGGTAGTTGTAAATAACAGAAGGTCTAACTGATGGTTGTCCACTATGTATATGGGCAAGAGATCCTCAAAATGTTGCCCCAGATAGCTGTCCAAGGATAGCCGGATTACATCATGAATGAAATCCTGGCTCAATTTAAACTAAAGGCCTAAACTCATATAGATTTAAAAGAGGTCAAGATTTATTTCTACAATGGCCAGGAGAAGGATCATTGCCTAAGCATAAAAGCAGTCTGTTCAATAATCTAGTAGTACCACATAAGAATAATGTTTTATGAATGAAATCATGTGTATCCATAGGACACAGGCCACATATAACGCAAGCCACATTTTATCAAAGAGAAGGGTACACTTAATAAGTGTTCAAAAGCACAGATTTATTTAATCTGTATGAATACATTCATATGGAGTTATACAGTCATTTGTAAAACTTGTTAGAATTTAAACAGCAAATGCTGCATGATTTGCATAACCATAATGTTGGAGAAGGCCTGCAAGTAGCAACACTAAAATATTCTAGTAACCTTTTTACACCGTATTCCAGCTTCCTCTATCTCCCCCCAAAGAGACATTGGCTGGTTTTTATGTACTGCATAAAGAAAAGTACTAAGAAGAATAAATGACTGAGACATCCCTGCATCTTTCACAGGTGCATTTCTCTTCCCTGAAATAAATATTTCTAAGCCTTTGCAAACAAATCTTTGTGTCAGAATGTCGGTATTATGTCTCGCACCTGCCATAAAGAGGAAAGGAAGAGACGTAAACGTTCGTTCTCTACATTATACACAAATTAATGGAGTGGAAGAAAATTCTATTGATTCCGGCTAAAAATGCAATGTTTTCAGTTGTCATTCTCAAGATGTATGCCTTTTAGGTTCTCATACATGTGTGCTAGACTAAGCTAAAAACACTCTATTTAATCCGAACGCGATTCTTTTTTTAATCCGAACGCAATTCATGCCTGTTATTTAAATTAAACTCCATTTGTACATGTATACGCTCTATAAAAATACCTTTCTATAACAGTATTATTAATATTTTGTTTGTTCTTAAGGTAGTTTTTGCTGTTGTGCCTATCAAACTTTTAGGCAAACAGGATATTTTTGTGCGATTATATAGTACTCTTTTTCATCTTCAATTTACAAGATTTACAATAAATAACCAGCTATATTCTCTCCCAAGTGATGCTGGAGAAATATCATCCCTATTTTACAAAGAGGTGACATTATATGCCCATTGTCATAAAATAGTCCTAGCCAGTACTGGGACACAAGATTCCTTCTGTTGTTTGATGACCAATCAAC